CTATATCCCCAGCCCAAAAAAATTATGTTATTAATCTAGTGGGAAATATATGGGGGTGATGAAAATATTGATCCCTAAAGTATGAATAATATAATGTTCTTATTTTATAATAGTTATAATAAAATTTTAAATAATATCTGGCCTTATTTTTTACATTTAGAAATATACAAACTATTAATTTATTAAACTTAGCCTCCCTTATATATAGTTATTCTTCAACTGTGCCTATGATCAAACATTGAAATCAATAGCATTTAAAACATATAGTGTAGAAAGACATTGTAAAAACAATGGTTGGAAATGCCAATGGAGGCCCTAACCAAAGGACAGAAGTAACTCAAAAGGTGTCATAGTTATTATTTTGGGGGGCTGGGGATTTAGCTCAGTGGCACAGTGCCTGCCTGGCAAGTGTGAGGTAATGAGTTCGATTCCCAGTACCGGAAAAAAACCAAAACGAAACAAAAAAAAAGTTACTAGTTTGGAGAGTCAGATGTTCGTAATTCTATATATGTTTGAGTTCTAAGAGGAAAAACTTCATCTCCTCTTATGTTAGGATACTTAGCACCTACTCTGTGTTGAAAGAATCTTAAAATAAATATTGAACCTCAGACAAGACTTTATGGAATACAATATACATCAGGAAAATACCAGCAAAGGCAAAAAAAAACATTTAATTTGTGTTTTTTTTTAAGTCTATTGCTTAATTTATGCTGGTACCATAAAGGAAAGAAGTCCAGTTTCATTATGGCCATAATCACAGCAATCCCCACAGGAATGTGAATAAAATGAATAAAAAATCCAGATGAAATGCCTGTGTAATCAGGGAGTAATCGCTCAGTGAAAATGGTTCAAAGGCAGTTTGTCCAAATGAAGAGACATACAAGGAGTCCAAAAGCTTAAACCAACATTTGTACGACAACTATTGGCTTTTCCACACCTCTCCCATCCTTCTACCTAACTTACTACATCCAAACAGAAAATAGTTTCCCTGTGTGTTTCAAAATACTATGAGTGTTGAGAAAAATAAGAGAAAGGCTTGCAAAATGCATCATCTGCAAATTTAGAGTAGTAACAGCATGAGGTCACGTTCCATCAACAACCATCTCAGTTGAATATGTATCAGTTATTCAATCTGCCTGGAATCAGTTTCCAGATTTGTAAAATTATTTTTAAAATAATACCTAATTAACTAGACTATAGCAGTTTCTCTTATATATACCAGCACGAGTTTCTCAAACTGCACACTCCCATTTCTGCCTATTACTCTATTAGTTTGTTATATTGATTTATATGGATTCTTCATGTACTCCAGATACTTAACCTTCACTGACAAATGCCACGTATACAGACTCTTCTTTCTGCCAGTTGTTCATTACCTACCCAGTTCTTTATTATGCTGTTTCTTTTCTTCAGTAATATGTAGTAGGAAAGCTAAGCAGATGTTAATCATTTTTTTAATTTATTATCTGCTTCTGCCAACCTGTGACATAACTTTGTATTTTATAAGTAAATGTTTTCTTTTCTAATTAAATGATGCATACACATACATCAGTCCATACAACTTTTATAATACATTAAATGTGACCATACACTTAAATATAATAGATTAAAATATAATACTCATAATTGTAATGACAAGAGTACTTGCTTCAATTATCTCATAGGATTGCTGGATCTGTTAAACAATAAAATATAGTTGGCAAACTATCAATTATAAACTATGACAGAAAATCTCTCACAGAAAAGTCATTCATAACTCTACCTCTAAAAAAGATATCTAAAAAAAGACTCATTCACAAGCCGTCAAAATTCTCATTTAATTAATAATAACCTGAAAGTTCTCAGGAATCACCTCCAACCTTAATTTATGGCACCCCAATGGGAAATCTGTTCTACCCAGGGATTCCCTATTGGAACTTCCTCTATGAAACTGTCAATTCTAATGGATTACACCTGCAATCCTACTGTTTCACAAGATGAGAGGGGAGCTTTAAGAGCCTATGTTAAACTCCCTGCTGAAAATGGCTATTACTTTCCAGACTGACTTACACAGCACTGCACAAATAGACTCTTAGGACTTTCTGTTCTTTATTAAGAATAAGACAAAATTTCTGCCCTTTGTTATAGTATATTTCATCAGCCCCATGCTTTTACATGTACTTAGTGTCATTTTATTCAGTCTCTATATAATTTATATCTTCCTCATTTATACAATCTCCTTTAATAATGTGATCCAGATTAATATAGTCCTAAAGACCAGAAATGAAATGACTTTTAAAAAAAAGACTTCACTACATAATTTCAAGTCAAATTTTTCACACATTGGGTACTAAAGATAACTTAAGTCAGAAAGTCAGCAATGTAGAGTGTGGTGAGTAGAATAATAGTTCTTCAAAGATACCAATTCCTCATCCTCAAAGCCTGTGTATAGATTACCTTACACACAAAGGACACTTTGCAGCTGTGATTAAGTTTAAAAACCTTGGGATGGATATGTCATCCTGAATTGTCTAGATGGACTCAATCTAATCATAGGAATCCTTAAGAAAGAAAAAAGGGGATCAAAAAGACGCAACTCAAGAAGAATGTCACCTATGGTTGCTGGTTTTGAACACAGAAGGAGGAGACCAGGAGCCAAGCAAAGTGGCAGCTTATAGGAGCTGGAAAAGGTAAAGAAATAGATCCCTCTTCAAACCACCAGGAAGGAGCACAGCCCTGCCAATACTTTACTTTTTAAACCAGTTAGACTCCTGTTTGATTTCTGACCTATAAAACTGTAAGATAAAAAGTGCATATTGTCTGAGCCACTACATTTGTGTGAATATTAAACTATATGCAAAGAATACCTAACTTATTTTTAGCAAAACGAATTGATTAAAAGAGTACACTCTGGAGCCTGGGTCCTGAATTAAAAATCACCTCTCTACTTTTACAAGTTTAAGCCAATTATTAACCTCCATATACCTTAATTTTCTCCTCTATAAAAAGGGGGCTACTAATATTTTAATTTACCCACAGAAAACTCATGAAATCAACAGTCTCCAAAATAGTAAAGAGAATAAGCCCTTCTAGAAAGTAATGTTTAAGCCAGACGTAGTGGTGCACACTTACAATCTCAGCACTCAGGAGACTAAGGCAGGAGGATTGCTCTGAGTTCGAGGCCAGCCTAGGCTATGAAGTGAGTTAAAGGCCAGCCTGAACTGCACAGTGAAACACTGTTTCACAAAGACAAAAAAAAAGTTTGTACTTATTTCTAAAAGCCATTTCCTTAATGGTATCAAGTTGTTCCTAATAAGGCCAAAGTGTCACTATGAACTCTACCAAGTGGCAAATGCCTACTGCAGGATCTGACAGAAAAAGTACCCATCAAAAAGTAAAGGTTCTTATTAAAAATAATATGTGTAGCAAAATCAATTTCTACTTGAATTGGCCATAACTGGCATTTTTCATTTATGTGACATTTATGCAACACTTTCATTTGAAAAGCTTACCCAATCATTTCTTGATAAACAAAATTTTTATTTGGCTCAGTAACATTTACACAAATTAATATAATCAGGCTAAGCAGCAATGATTCACATTACAAAAATTTTAAGATATAACAATTGGTAATTTCCAAAAATTTAGAGGTAAAATACAAATCAAAAATAAAAATGTATTTTTCATTCATAACTCTACACTCTACAAAAGCTCAAAGTATTGTCAAAGCCTGAAAAGCAATAGTATATCAGAAAAAGATTTTTAAAAAAAAACCTTTTTTAATTTTATGGAGAAGCTTGAGTATAAATTTTTTTAAAGTATTATAATAAAAATCAGTGTTTGGAATTTTTTCAAGAACTTAGTAACTAGGTAAACTGACAAAAGAAAAAATCTATTACAAAATAACACCTATAATTTTCTCCAGGAAAAGTAATAAACCTCAGGATTCTAAGCCTAAATAACTCTAAAATAATTTAATTAAATGACATTTTAAGGGTTAATGAAATAAGCTCTAGTAACAAGCTCTAGTAATGTATTGTTAAGCTTTCAAAACAAATACAAAATGTATTGATTGAGTCCAAATTATTTCAACTTTTCTACTTTTACTTTATGTCATGCTCTATAAAACTGTAGATCTTACAAGAACTATACAAATTATTATCTAGAAAGGTGGCTAACAGACATTAGTATTTTTTGAAAGACATTGAGGATTACGGCTGCCACATGATCACCTGATAAGCATCACGAAACTTACTTCCAATCCTCACATCCCCAAACAAAAGCTGCAAGGACAAAGAGACCCTTTGCAGACACCCAAAAACTGTCCAAGACTGGCTGGGGGGCAACTCTCACAGATGGGGCAAGTTTAAAACACTCCAGAAGATTCCTCTATACCTTTACATCTCTCCACCAAAGTATGCCCCTCACATCCTTAACCTTAAACGCAGGCCAAAATGGCTCTCTTGCCTTATTCAGAAGGATACTAGATTATCCCCCAGAAAAAAAAAAAAAAAACTATTAATTTATGGATGTTTCTTCAAAATGTGTTCCGTTTGTGAATGTGTGCAGATACACTAGGAAGTAGTGAGGCCACTGGAAGGCACAAAAGAAATACATCAGAGGACAGGAGTCACACACTCAGAAGCTCGCAAGAATTAGGCATGAAATGCAATACATGAAACAACTGGGTAAAAGTGCATAGGAACAACACAGGTTACAGAAAGCAGGGAAGTACGTGCTCTACCAAAAAGCACTCAAATGCAACTTTAGTACTGCTGGTAAAATAAAATATGCACAGCTAGAATCTGCAGGAAGGTTTTAGTTAACTGCCAGTTTTCAACCCTGATAATGCAACAGGCCCGGCCATTTATTGTATACTGTATTTCCTGGGAGGGTCACAGAGGGCTCATTACACACTCCAAGGCCCTCTCAGCCATAGCCCCACCAGCTCCCACAGTTTTTTTTTTTCTAGGTTTTTCAGCATAATAGAAAGTTCAGGGCCTCAAGAATGAAAAACTTACCAACTGAGCTTCCAGCAGAATACTGAGCAGCATCTAGGAATTTTCGTGGAGTAGGGAGATTTGTAACATCAATCAGAGGGCCAGGAGAGGTATCCTTCACATGGGAGCTGCAGGAGAGAAAGAACAGCAGTTACCACTTTCTCCAAAAACCAAATGAAGTGACACTCAATACCCTGCCCTTATCTCTTTCTTTTTGATCATGACCCCTCTTTACTCTGTGACTTCAAATATCTCTCTAGCATATTACCATGAAGGGGTAACATCATATTTAGGGGTATAAAGATATATTCTAAGTGTTCCAAGTGTTTGTTTTCTTTTCACATTGATGCTTCACAGAACATATGAATCACCACCATATAATGATATATCATTCCAAACAACTGTAGTAGCCTCCTTTGTACCCATATTAAAGATTACTTTATCCCCAACAAAAGTAGAAATGACACTGTCACAAAAACTAAATAAAACACACTGATTTTAAATTATGCAAAGATTATACAAAATACAATTAAATTTTCAAGGTAACTTGTTATTCAAAAACACTTGTTAAATGCAAGAATGTAGGCAATGCCAAGGCAGAGGAAACCTGGGACCTACTCCTCAAGAAATTCAATCATCTACTTGAACTGTACCTACCAGTTCGAGCTTGTCTAACTCCAGTCCCAGCGGTATGGAAGCCAAGGCCACAAGTCTCAAGTCTTTTCAGTCCACAAACACAGCAGCAGTAGAACTGACTTTCAAAGTAGATCATAAAGGCAGAGGAGCCAGTGGTAGGAGGACCCCACAGTCATGGGAAGGATCTCTCCAAATAGGATGAAGGGATGTGTACAGCTATGTACATCTGAAACCCTCTCCCAGAATACATATGTCCCTATTTCCTTCCCATGCTGCTTTTGATATGTGTATATTTTATTTCATAATGCTTTTTCCAGTGCTTGAGATCAAACCCAGGACTTCTATATGGTAGGTAAGCAGTCTACTACTGAACTACACTGTCAACATTCTGTTTATTTTTACATTAATTTTAAAAAGCCATGGTTTTTTTTGTTTGTTTGTTTGTTTTTTTTTTTTTTTTGGTTTTTCTCCGGTACCGGGAACTGAACTCACGACCTTGCGCTTGCCAAAAAAGCCATGTTTTCAGAAAATTTTGAATAACAAGATTTGTTAAAAAGCAAAACTATCACTTCACGTATTACTATTTTTACTGAATGTTAATAATGTGTCAACCATTGTCCTAGGCCTTGAGGATGATTCTAATAGTCATTAAATTGTTCCTTTTCCCTTGTTCCAAGAAAGAAGAAACCATTATTCAAACAACTCTTGAGCATCAGTTAGTGCTCAGTGCTAAAGAAGCAAGCATGATGAAGATAAAAGCTAAAGCAAACTCAGCAGTATTCTAATACTTATAATCACTTATAGGTTGAATAAAACTCAAGTGAAGTATAAAATATGAAAGTAACAAAAACAGCAATTAGCAGAAATTGAACTGGCATAGTTAGTTCCAGTAACGTTTTTCTACCAAGTTACACATTATCTAAATTATCTTAAGAAAAGCCAAGCAGGACATGGTGGCACACCCCTGTAATCCCAGCACTCGGGAAGCTGACGCAGGAGGATCGTTGCAAGTTTGAGGCCAGCCTGGGCTACAAAGTGAGCTCAAGGTCAGCCTGAACTGCACAGTGAGACCCTGTCTCAAAAAGACAAAAAAAAAAAAGCCAAGTCTTCAAATCCAATAGTATATCATAATAATTTATATACTTATAAAATCAATTAGATCATATATTTAGCATCTTTCATTTTTTCTGCCTACTTTTATTGTCTCATTTTTTCACTCTCAAAAATGTCCTCTTTTACCTGAATTTTACTCACAATTAGAAAAGCAGCTTTAAACAGTCCTCTATCCTCTGAGAACACATAACTACAGAAACAAAATAATCACTGAGGTATACACTGCCATTACTGAGTAATTAAGAAAAAAACTAATTTCAACTTTAAATGACAGGAAAGTTGTAGAATTCATTTTATAAATATTTAAATAACAAAGTAGAAGAATTATTTATAAAGGAGGATAACTAACAGCAGTAAAATTCAGATAATGAATAGCTGGAATAGCTGCCTGCCAAGCCTAATTAATAATAAAGAAATACAGTTAGCACATACTGTGTGCACACTGGTGTGTGTGCACACACAAGTACAATAGCACATACTTCTATGAACACAGATGCGTATATGACTCACATTAGATGAAAATCTATGCTTATTTTCTCAGTTTTAACCTACAAAATACATTTCAGTTAAATACAGTGATAAACAGCTTGCCATTTCAACTTTGAAAAGCATAACCTCTCAACTTTACAATCAGAGCCAGAAGGGTCCTCAAACTGCATCAATAAACTTCCAGAAAGTCAATTTACTGAAAAACTATTTTCATAGACTCATCTCTCTCCCTCTCTCTCTGAAATTTTCCCTTAGGCCTCAATTTTCTCCTTTGTGAACACTAACATAAAGGCAAGTCACTCTGGAAATAATTTTTAGGCTTTGTTTTTTTCTTGTTCTATGGAAGGATTCAGTTTCAAAAGTTCCAGAAAAAAGGGGGCACACACAGTCATTTAGTGACTACAGGCATAAAGCTCAGTAGAGAAGCAGGTATTCATATACATAAGAGTATCATACTAAAATATTAGGGACCGGGGCTGGGGGTTTAGTTCAGTGGCACAGCACCTGCCTGGCAAGCACGAGATAATGAGTTCAATTCCCGGTACCAGAAAAAACTCAAACCCTCCCCCCACAAAAAAAAAATAAAAAATATTAGGGACCATATTTTTCATTTCAGAAGAGAGAAGAAGGGTCTCCTCTTACCACACATCTTAAATGAAATTTAGAAAGTATTAATTCCTTCAGAGAGTTTTGAATCTCTCTAAATATTGTAGAAAATAAGTAAAAAATATTTTTAAAATACTGTTCTGTTTAACTCTGTAATTAATATGAACACTCTGAACTGCTTTATTTTAAAAGAAATATTGAGAAGAGCTATTTTCTTTTTAAATACTACACAATTACAAATTTTTACTTTAAATCTATTAGTATCATTCATACTTAAACAACAGCTGAGGTACACTAAATTCCACCTAGAATAAGACACAGTAGTTGCACCAAAATCATCAATTATATATTATGAGTGAATGTGTTTTTCTACTTAACACAGTGAAGGACAGGGAAACTATAAAGCAAATTAACCTGCACTAAAAACAAGCAACTACTGCCACCATAACCCAAAGGACTTTCTACCGATTAACTGACCATCCAACTAGGTAGGATGGGCCTCTAATTATGCTCAGTTTCAAAATTTCAATCCATGAAAATTTCTCCTTTTTAAAAAAGTGTTAGAAGTGCTAACAGCTTATTAAACATTTGCTTTTTCACTGGAGCATTTTTCTGTCCCTTCACTTAGTAGTAAATGGGCCCAAACTATGTCTGAAATTTGTAACCCCAGCTCACTTGGCTGATTTTATTGTCAAACCAAAGACTGAGATGGGTGAGCAGAACTTGAAGCTAAAACTCTAGTAACTAGTATTTCACCTCTGTAACCAGAACAGCTGGTAGAGTACCTGTCAAAAGATAAACACTCATAAAGGTATACTGAATCAGACTAAGCTGAGAAATATTTTTCAAAGATAATACACCTTTAATAAGAAAGTTTAACTGAATAATGAAACAGGAATGGCTGATATAATAATGCCTCACAGTTCTAAGCTCTGGATGAACATACAGAAAGTGTAATGAGTGACTCAGAGGATATAAAGTTTAAAAGAGTCATGGTTCTAAATGACAGGCCAAGGGTGAAGATATGGTAATAGAAAATAAAAATATGTTTAAAAATTTGAAGTCTAATGAAACGGGGAAAAAAAGAATTACATAAGAAAACAGATCTGTAAACAGAAAAATAAATGTAAAAATAAAAAAGGAACCAAGTAATACAGTAGAGTCCAGAATATTCTTTACACACTGAGAAACAAATATGGACACCAAATCCATAGGTTTGAAATGTTGTCCTTCACTTGCTACAGGACATCCAAAGAAGTGAGATCAAATCAAGTAATCCACGATGCATGCAATAAGTAAAAGGATTAACCATTTTTAATTACATTTGCTTGGTTTTATATGCTTTTAAAGGTATACGTTCTTTTAAAAAATATTCTATAAAGAAAAAGCAATCCATTAAGATCATTTTGATGAAGTATCTTTCAAAATATTTTACATGGAAAGTCTCTCCATCTGCCCCATACACACACAGACACACACACACACACACACATGCGAAAGGCACACATGCTCTGTTTTCAACCTTCTTTGAATTATCCTGGATAGTTTTTGTTTTTTTTTTTGGTTTTTCCCAGTACCGGGAATCGAACTCAGGACGTTAAGCTTGCAAGGGAGGCGCTTGCACCATTGAGCTATATCCCCAGTCCCCTATCCTGGATAATTTTGCATCTTAGTTTTCCTCTTCAACATTATAACCTAAACATTTTCCCATTTCATTTAAAAAAATCTTCAGATTCATCACCAATATTATAGTGCTATTAAAGTAATACATGTTCCTGGTGCAGAAAAGGAAGTCCTTTCCTCTTTCTAGTCCGCATTTCTACTTCCTACAGCTAACTCCTTAGAAGTGCTTTGGCATTATCCTTCTAGGAATTTTTTATACACAAACACGTACGTCTACATATAGAAGATACATATTTAAATATCTATCCATGCAATTTTTACACAATGAGTTCAAATAACATACAGTGGTTTTCAACTTGCTTTCAGGACCCAATAATACATCTTAGAAATCTTATCACATCAGCACAGAGAAATCTTTCACACTTATTATAAGGTTCAATATTATGTGGAATGATTATATCATAATTCATTTACCATACTCTTCTTCATGAACATTGAAGTTGTGTGGGTTTTTGTTCTTCTTACTAATAATGTTGCAATGAACATCCTGCTATGTATATTGTAATAATGCAATGAATATTCTGTTACATATATTAATATGAAATAGTATTATTTTTGCTGCATATAGACTCAAAAATGAAATTCCACAGTTGAAGAATATGCAAATTTTTTCTAAAACAGTATATTGGTTATTCAACCACAAAGAGAAGTATTCATCCCCTATCCTTGCCAACAAAGCGTTCTGTGAATGTCCTTAACTTGATTATCTGATGATAAAAACTTACATTTGACTTCTCAAAGTTGGATATCTCTATTCAGGACATTATATAATTTACTATACTAATTATCCATTTACATTTGTATAAATCTATACATTACCTCTTATCACTTTTATATTTTAGATTAAATCTTTACATGCTATACATATTTTTCTGAGTCTGTGTTTTACCTTTTGAATCCTCTGTACTGTCAATGCTCTTTGAGTTGTTAAAAAGCTAAATTCTTTAACACCGGTCTTTATGTTTCCTGATAGGCTTTGGAAAGCTTCTTCCACACATATTCTTCTGTATTATTTTTCCATTGCTAATAGTTTTTTCGTGTGATTTATAAATCTAACTAGAATTTCTCTATATAAAGAAGATAGGTATCTGTCTTAGTTACTTTTCTCTCGTTGCTGAGACAAAATACCCAACGCCCAAAATTAAGGAAGGAAAGGTTTGCTTAGCTTACAGTTTGTGGAGGTTTCAGGCCATACTTGGCTGGCTCCGAGACAGGGTGGCACATGGCAGAGGGCAAACGTTCATGGCAGCAGAACAGCAAAAACAACAAGAGCAAAAGGGGGAATGGCCGCAAGCAGCCTCTTTCTCTCCCTTACATTGTAAACAGGTTACCCTCACCTAAGGGGATGTAGCTCTCACATAGTCTCTACGCTCTCCTCTTGCCCAGGCTCAGGATGAATACAAAGTAAGCACCCCAGCTCTCTGCTGAGTCACTTAGTCAAATCTCTAGATTCCCCAGCTGACACAATGTATCAATCATAACAGTATCTAAACTTACTTTCTTCAAATCAATAGCCAACTGGCTCAACACTATTTACTAAGTAGCCTTTATCTCTTATCCCTCCACTGAACTGAACTATGGTTAAAAAATTCTAAAGTCTTATGAATCCTGGGGTTAATTTCTGAACTCTAAATAGAGCAATATGATTTTCTATGTATGCCTGCATTGTATTGCTTCAAGTAGCTTTGCAATATACTTTAATATCGTGTAAGAAAACTACCCTCTCATACTACTTTCTGAATTTTTTAAGCAATGCTTACATTCTCATACTTATTCTTCCCTATGAACTTCAGATTTCACTTAATAGTTTCAAAAACCTCAACTGGATTTAATTGGAATCTAAATCATGAATGAGCATGTACACCTTCTTATGTATCAGTTCTATGAGTGGTTTACTTTCTACTTCAAAAAGCTCTGTTCTTCATATGGTTATGCCTCCAGGTGACTTCCCCTATTTTTCCTGTAATAGAAATTCGTTGTTGGGTGTTTGTTGTTTGTTTATAATCAATTACCTGAATATATATTTATATATTCTGTCCTTATATTTGGATCAAATCCTTATTGTTGAGTCAAAATGAGAAGAGAGCTCTACTTCCTGCTGTGGAAACTGAAGGAGACCAGATACAGGCCAGAGTTCTCAGAAAATGGGTGCTTCCACACAAGACTTTAAATTTTCAGGAGATAAAAGACAAAAGAATATGTAGAGATTCTTTACAGGGGAATTTTAAATCCAGTCATGACAGGCATGGTGCCAGCCGTGATAGTAACCCTAGCAGACCTTTCCTGTGGCCAAGACTGAGTGCTTAGTTGCTTAATATGGCTTGGTTCCTCCTGGAATTCAGAACCTGACTATGCAGATTTCCTATAGAGTCTGTGAAATACCAGATAACTTTCCAATAAATTCCTTTCTTCTTTTAGTTATCAGGACTGATTTCTGCTTTTTGCAAACAAGAGTCCTACCTAATGCATCACCCTTTGAAACAGAGAATATGCTTATGTTGATGTGTCTTCTCCAGTGATTTTTAAACAATACACAACCTTTAAATATAAATATGTACACTAATAAAAACATAATCAGCCCATAACACTACCATTTTAGTGTAACCCTCCAGAATATCTACAATCACTGAATTGGTTACTCCTTCCGTCTTCCATATTTATCATCTTTCTTGCATCACCTTTTCTTTTTCCTTTTCATGAGGAGGAAAAAAGCTCTCCCTGTACAGCACTGATTCTGTTCTTCTCTTTTATGCTTCATATATTTAAATTTCTTTACTTCACTTTTGTTTCTCTTACACTGTATTCATGTTTTAGCTCTCTTAGTCTCTCTCCCTACTGCACTCTTACTGCTCTCCATTACTGTTTCATAGAAGCTATATGCTTGCTGCACACAGTCACAACAGCTCACTGACGTTCCAGAACAAGCATCTATTTTCTGTTTTAGAGACCAGCTGATCCAACGTGGGGCAGATCTGTTGGTTCCTGGTGTGTCTCTCTTCTTCCTCCTGGGACAAGTACCAGCATGACAAATACCAGAGGCACAAAGGGCACACTCACCAGCCTAAGCACATTTCAAGGGTCTGTAACACAGGGCCTAACAAATCACAAAAGCAAACACCCAAAAACCAAAGGGGAGCCAATATACCTCTCCCATTCAAGTGGAAGAGAAAGGAGCAGTTATGAACAATCATCAATCTACTACATCATGCTTCCTGCTCCTTTTGAGAAACCTCAAGTTTAACTCTCCTGGATTTTTCTTGTTTGCTTTACAAAACTCTTTCTTCAAGTAAATTTTCTTCCTCTGCATCCTCAAAGTAATGTCTATTTTCCCTTTATGCTACGGGAATTTACATGGGACTCACAATGATTTTGTTATTTATCTTTGCATGGGAAGAAAGCTATTCAGATCTTCTGTTTATGACTAGGCACTAGAAAAAAATTTCCTTAGCACCTGCCATATACACACATACAAACACTACCTTATTCTCTGCTAAAAGGGATAATCAATCGTTTCCTTATTCAAATCTAGTCTTAAAGGTATCCTCAAGTACTCATTCTCCAGCTCAATTTCTGTGCCTGGCAAAGTTTTTCTAACCCACATATGCTGAAAAGAGGTAGAAATAGCTCTCTTTCTATCAAGGTCTCTGACTAAACTGAAGAAACCTTTTGTTCAAACAGCATACAGTTTAAAGACATCATTCCCAACATGCTGTACTTTTAGTGTTGTTTTGGTACAGCACTGGATGCATAAATATGTGTATTTCAGTAGATAGTGCTAAAAATCACCTCTGAAAAAACTGCATGGCTATTTAAAGGAATGTTGCAAGGATAGCTATGACGCACAGCTATCTGAGACACGTTCAAAGCCCCAACATTCTACTATATTAAGATCTAGTTGTACTCCCTACCAGATCTATACTAACCAAATGAATCTCTTAGACCCACCCAGACCCTTAAATGTAGAGCTACACTACAATCAGCCACAGGATAAAAGAAAAGTATTCTCCTTGAACCTCTCCTGAACTATTCCAGTAGGAAAACTGCTCAAAGCTGAACATATACCTAAGTAACAAAGACAGTACAACTTTAGTTCATATATCTATATTTCTTAATTTGACTTCACTGTCCAATTCACAGATTATTTTCACTTCCTTCTAAGATAAGCAAGAGTGTCTCTTATCCTGTATATAACAGGTCCACAGGAAATTCTTCTTATATATCCTTACTGAAGAGTACTTCAGTAAATGTACAATGAATCAACAGACAAAAGTTGATGTCAGTCTCACAAAACATGAACCATCTGATAGTGTACATCCATGTTTGTTTCAGAGATAAAGAAAAGGTAAAATACACAATATTCTAGAAAAAGAAGAATAATTCTTCCAATAATTGCCACAAGATACTGTAGCAAAGGGGCCATTTAACCAACCTCATTTTCCCTTTTTCCTTGTTATTCTGCACAACTCGGCTAGTGGATTTGATGTACAAGTGCCGGTGCAGTTCATCTATGAGAACCAGGTGGAGGTTCATCTTCTTGCTGTGAAGCTCTAGCCTGAGGTCACTCAATCCTTCCACCTGGAGCAGGGGACCCTCCAAAGACTCTACAGCTGACACCTGAAAAGGAAAACAGAAGAGTCTTTTAAGTACAACTAAATAACCTGGCAATATTATAAGTAAGAAAAAGACATTTAAGGTACTCTCAAAAGAAAGTTTATGAGAACCCTATCAGCATACAGCCGGTTTTGCATAGTATCACATAGACAGACCTACTTTTGCCCTTAAAAAGTTTATTATCTAAGAAAGACAAAGATAAAAAAATGCTTGACGAAGATAAATATGAAAGTATGTAAAACACCACAACAAAACTGCATGTACTACGTATTTCCATACATACTGCTTGTCAAAGGACACATGTACACATACACACAAAGGTAAACACATGTTTTACATGAATGGTGTAAGTGGAAAACAGCAATCATCCCACTTCCCAGGCTGACCCATTTTGAAAAAAGGACTTGACTTGCGAATACAAGATACAGGATACATTACAGAGAGGAAGGTACGACTGCTATACAGTAGTTAGGAAGATTTTGAGGGTAAAAATGATGAATGAGCCAGGGATTTGGCTCAGTGGTGCAGCACCTGCCTGGGAAACATGAGGTCCTGAGTTTGATTCCTGGTTTAAAAAAAAAAAAAAAAAAAAAAATTGTCCAAAGAATGATAAATGAATCAAATTGGGGTAGAGATGCCTTTAAGAAATGGAAAAAATAAGACTCCTGTAAGTCTAAAGCAAATGACTTTGAAATTCTGTAACTTAGAAGAAACAAAGCATATATGGTATGATCCTTTTTATTCATGTACATAAAATTATATTTGTGTTTGTCTATGAATAAAAATATTTCTATCTTTTCAAAGAAAAGCATGAAGCAAATACTCTAAGTACTATTCTTTGGGAGGAAAAAAAAGATAAAGTGGGAAACACAAAGAATGTAAAAGAAATAACAGGAATAATAGAAAAGAGATGATTATAAACTAAGCTTGGAGAGAAAAAAGCAGACCAACTTCTTGAGGGACAGAGACCTACGACTACACCCTACTTAGGTTACACGTGTATATATTCTCAATAGGTATAGATGAAGGCAATAATTAATAACACTATTTACTTCTGGGTAAAACCATTAAATTAATTATGAATACAAAGACGCCCTAAAAAATAAAGCATTTACACAAAAGCAATAGATAATACAAGCCTTGAACCACACTGATGAGCAAAAACGTTAATTACAGATCTACGACACTCTAAGGACTCATCTAGATGTTTGTGAACACTGAATACAGAAAGCTTGGAAGCTGCCAAACACAAACTGCATGAAATAGTTAAACAAAAAAGAAAAAAGCAATGGCTAACTCACAAACACATCACTTGTTTTGTGATATGCTATAATCAAATGTCAGTAGCAAATAAGTTTCCTTAAGTTAGGCAAGAAAGAATCAAGGGATGGAAGAGTGACAAGCCCTGGGCCAGCTCTGCCCTCTGAAGCCTGCCAGTTCATTTTCACCCTGACTTGCAACCGCTCCTGCTACCAGAGCCCCTGGGCCCTGTGCAAGCTGCCAACAATTCCAAACATAAAGGCAGACTCACAAAATGACCAAAGTGTCCCCAAGGAGAGAAAACAACAACAAATTCATTTACACTTATGCCCTAAATAGATTTTAACTTGGGTCTCTAGCAAAGAAAAGAGGATGCATTAACCTTCAGTGACATCAAGATCCAGAAAATGAAAAATAATTTGGTAAGCCACTGGTCCATCATGTAGCCTTATCCCTTAAGGTAATTAAATCCAGCTGAGATATTTAAGCCTAAAAAACCACCCACTGCACAGCCACACTTGATTTGTTTGTAGGAATTTGCATGAACATTTTTAACCCAAACAATTCATGTTCCAAATACAAAACTGCATGACAACATCAACTTTCAGAAGGACAAATCAATTTTTAAAAATTAAGGAAAAATACTTAACACAGGGCCTGGCACATACTAAGTACCCACAGAAATTATTTTTTAATAGTACCTATTTATTCTATGGGTACAGAAACTTCAGAGAGGATTTACATGGTGTTTTAATGCAGCATTTTAGGGATCTTTTCCTTTATTAAACCACTATAATCATTTAAATAATAAAATTTCTCAATTTGCTTCTTTGACCCAAAACACAAGTACAATTAACATGTATTTAATCAAGGATAGTCTTAAAACTTCAAAGTTTGAAAACCTCACTACAAACACAAAGAAGAGTCTCTCATTTCTATAAGAAAATACCATAATTTATTTTCTGGTCTTTACTTATTAAAAGTCTATTTGTAAAACTAAAATTATGGAAGTTAGGCAAGGTCGTCGTTTGCCCTCACCTAACTTTACTAAGTGGTACTCAAACCAATTTGAAGGAAATAGTTATCAATGTAACATTTGATCTCCAGAACATCAGTTAAAGACCTGAAATTTTTCTTTACACCTTTTAAAGAGCCTGCACCATAAAGTTCAGACTTAAAGGAAAATGCGGTGCAATCACAGTCAACTTAAGAGACCATCACTGATAGTCACTTTTGTTGTACTGTGGTATCTGTTTTCCAAATATTCACCAAGTATTTCCAAGTATGTGGGATTTACTAAAAGAGAAAAAATTATATATTCTACATTAAGAAATGTACTTAACTACGGTTCTAAAAAAAAGATTTGTAATATATGGGAAATGGTTATTTTATAAATTATTTCACTCATGTGTTTAGCTTTCTACTGCTGGCATAAAATACTTGAAGTAACAATTTTTTTTGTTTGGTTGATTTTTTGTTTTTCTTCCAGTACCAGGAATTGAACTCACGACCTTGCGTCTGCCAGGCAGGTGCTGTGCTGCTGAGCTAAATCCCCAGCCCCTTGAAGTAATAATTTAAGAGGAGTAAAAACTTATTTTGGCTCACAGTCTCAAAGATTTCAGTCCATAGTTAGTTGGTCTTATTGCTTTGGCCCTGTGGCACCACTGTGACTGCATCATGGAGGTGCATGTGACAGAGAAGGTCTGCTTAACTCATGCTGGCTGGGAAATGAAAGAGAAAGAGGAAGGGGTTGGGTCCAATCTGCCATTCATAGGCACAGTCCCCGTGGCCTAACTTCATTCTACCTGGACTTGCCTCTCAAAGGTACCAATCTTCCTATAGTGCCACTGGCTGGCAACCAAACCTTCAGTATATGGGCCTTTGGGAGACATTCAATTCAAAAAGTCCGGTTAATTTGGAAGACCCAGTTTTATGGTTTAAAAATCAAAACTGGGTTTTGATATAAAATTGGACTTTCCAAATTAACTGCACTTTTTGAATGATCGAATAGGAGGAATTTAAGAGATGTAGCTGGATTAAACTGGACACCAACAAAATGGTCTCAACAAGTTAACTGCTATAATAAATTATTAAAATCAGATTCGTGTGACAGCCAACACTGAATGTCACAAATATATATTAAAAATAGAGAATAAAACAACATACAGAGTACAGTGAATTGGTAAATGCCTTTATACATCTTTTCACAGAACAAACACTATGGTCACTAATATGAACTCCTAGAATTACCCCGTGAGCCACACCATTTCTTAGAGTACTACATACTGATAGGCGTTAACTAAATGTACTTAGAATTTTTCTTACATATATATTGAACAAATCTTCCAGATAAAAAGGATACTATTATTACCATCTAACAGAATATTACTGTTTTAGTCAACACAGTTTGAAACCACTCAGGGAGATAACAGAATTCTGGTTTAAGAGTTGAAATTAAATATTTTCTTTAGCATTACAAAAATAAGCAAACATTTCCAAGATATTTTAACACAAAATATTGAACAGGATAGCACGTTTTGCTACCAGAAACCTATACATGTAAGGAAAGAGATATTCAAAAAACGGTTTTTATAACACAAAAACTAGGTCAAGCATATAGTTAAAATGTACATAATCAAGAATTCAAAAATATTTTGCCATGAGTTGAAGTATAAGTCTGTGACAACAGAAAATCTTCATAATTAGGAATTACCATACCCATAAACTCAATTTTTTTTCTCAATTTCATTTTAGTATAAAGTACAGGAAATTATTATTTGATAGGTAAGTGCTTGTCTTTATCCAGTATTACTTAAGATTTACGTAAAATGATCTAACTTTGTGCTCTAACGTAAACCAATGGGAACATTTTGAAAAAATACTGAAATTGGCCATTCTTAGCTGCTGCTCCATTGAAAAAATTGCAATAAAAATATACTGATTTTTTTTTTTAATTTGGAGAAGGTGAAATACAATAAAGACAAATGAGATTAGTAAATATTTCTAAAATTAACTATGTGTCAAGCCTAAAAAAAGAAAAAATTATAAGTAAACAAAAAACCAGCCTGATAACTAAACCATCTGCTAGCTCGTGAAAATGCTTACTTTGGCTGCAGTGTTCTCCAAGAAAGCAAACATATCGCTATTGTTGAGTCCAAAACAAATATTTCCTTAAGCATTCTGATGATTTTATGGTTCCAAAATGTTTTAACATTTTTCAATAGGTCAATAAGACTCCCTAAAGGAAGTATTTTTCTTGTAAGACAACAATAATCACTCTAAAAATGTTGTCACAGCCCTACTTACAGATGCAATAAAAAGATATGAAATTAGGCTACTCCAGAGGACACAAGTTAAATAAACATAATTTTGAATAGCCTCATCTAAATAAGAGCACTACAACAAAAGAACACATGCCTGGGAACTCGACATTTACTGAGGTTACACGATTGCTGCCACTCTGTCCCTAAAATTCTAGAGGCCAATCTCTAGAGCAGTGAAGGCGAACCTATGGCATGTGTGCTGCAGTGGGCTGTTGGTATCACTGAACGCTCTAAAAGGTTCACCAGGACTGCTCTTGAGGCTTCAGGCCTGCCTCTCCCAGACAGCACTCTACCCTGAAGTGTCTACCTTCAGGCTCAGAGAATTCCAGATAGGGACAAGAAGCCTCTAAAAGTCTCTCTGAATGCAGATAGATATTCCGCCTTTAATAATCTACTTGTTTAACAACTGTTTGGACTTAC